AGGTCAGTGATTCTCAGAGTGGAGCGTCCTCTCCATGTTTCAAGGACCTGAACACGACCTGCATACTGGAAGTCTTCACTGAGGTCCTCAGACTGTGAGGGACTCTGCCACTGACGACTACGTTCAGGACTGAACCAGAATTTAGATCTGATAGTTTGATGACTGTTGTACATGCACATAATGTCCACTGATAAGCCTTTCAAGACACAAATGCTTTTCTGAAGGTACGTCACTCTGTTGCAGAATTGACCATGGACACCTGAAAGATAAAACCTTTCTTAAACCCGACTTTTACAACTACATCTTTCAATGCAGTAAGACAGAGCACTTTGTATTGTTGAGTTAACAAGAACAGAAGTGATCCTGTAGAGCTCAATGCAAAAAAGATGGTTTTAATATAGATAGGGGAAGTGTGGTAATATTTAAAATACTTGCAGTTACTGACAGTACAATAGGCTAAATGTGCCACCAGATGCCGATCTATTAGTAGAAGACTGTGGAGTAAACTCACACATTGAGTCAGAGGGAAAATCCTCAAGTCCTTTAAGGGCACAGGAATAGCTGTCTGCAGGATAAACATAGTCTGAATATGAAGATGTTCCTCTCCTAAATCTTCTGTCCATTCTTGTACCAGACGTAGTGAAGATGATCAGGTAGACGACAACTGCTTTGACACTTGAGCTCTGACCTGGAATAACCCTGGTGGACTGGTTTGATCACCTGCACCTGTAGACCTGGATTTGTGAAGAAGGAATACAAATCTGATTTATATTCATACTCAAACACATTCACAATATCACTGCATGTACATGTTTGCCCCTTGGGAACAATACATGGTGAAAAGAATCTCTAAGTCATACTCTTATCAATGATTCAGAGCTTTCAGTCACATCTACTGGTCGTCATTCAGCAAGCAGAGCTGGATTAGGTGCCACTGACAACCAAACTGTGAACTTTACATCACATGACATCTGTGTTTATGTGAGGAGCAACACACAGCACAAAACCAGTCCGGAGAAATATCAGAGAGGAATATATATGACAACTTGTTATGATGTGACCATTTATGCCTAAACCTCTGAGCTTAGATTTTCTTAATCAAACATTCACAGTACCGTTTCCTTGATCTTGAATATTTGGAGCAAAATAAATATTAAAATGAAAATGTTACCTGTGACCAACAAAGTGACTCCAGGTGAACCAGTATAACTCCCACCTGGTTGGTTTGTTATGAATCTGAACTTGTACTCAGCTGAGTCGCTCTCTCTCAGGTCTGTGATTCTCAGAGTGCAG